GAAGAATGGCATCTACGCTAATATTAGTCTGTTTCTTTCTTATTCCGAGGTCACCGTAGCCACCAGATCCAGTCTGTATCCAGATCAGATGGTCACTGCAGTCACCCGGATCCAGTACATATCCAGTCCAGATGGTGGATCAGCACCTAGAGATGACCTCTAACAGCCCTGAATGTCAGCGGAAATCAGGACAACTAGATGAGCCCCAGAGACAGATCCCCAGTAAAGACCTTGTCTCCTAGACGGCCACCGGGACAAGACCACAGGAACCAGATGAGTCGTCTGCACAATGTGACATTGCTGCAGCCTGGCATTGAACTGCTGGTTTCGTCTGGCCAGAGGAGAACTGTTTTCCTAATTAATGCTGTACAGTTGCTTTGACACAATCTGTATTGTTAAAAGCGCTATATAAATAAAGGTGACTTGTCTTGACTTGACATTGATTAAAGACTGTTTTCGTTTATTCGTGCCTCCTGCGTGCTTCCTAAACAGCGAACTGTGACAGAGACGTAAACTTTCCAAATTCATGAAAATGTTCGTATTTTCTGTACACCTGCTCCTTACCGTGTGTTCATGGTGCATAAAACGTTCAGTGTTCTTTTTGACAAACTGATGACAGTGAATTTTGATGCACTGCCATCATAATATTTTATAAGATAATTTGCGCTGTTTTTTTTTAAGTTCGTTTGCGCTGTCTTTTTTTTTTTTTGTAGCTGAGAGTTGAAAACTGTTCAACTTTGGGTAAAACGCAGCGCTCGACAGACACTGTCACTTTTTACTCAGCCTTCCAATCATTGGAGGAGGGGCGGGACAAATGCTACACCGATCAACCATCCTACTAGTACAACGTCTTAACAACAATGGAGACATTATTACTGGTTATATTGCATTATAAAATACTGCATTTTATATTCAGTAATATTATTCAAAATGTGATACTAGTAAAACATTACTGCCGTGGATATTCCCCATCCAACCAAAATCGTCATCTGGAAAAATGCTGTGCCACCAAAGCTTTCTCAAGCACCACCAGCTGGCCGTTTTCAGAAGAGCACCTGGCATTTTTCTGCTGGCTTAAAACGCTTTGGTGGACACGTTGATTGAATATTTATTGTTAGGTATATGCAGGGCCGGCTCTAGCTATAGGCAGAGCAATAATGATTTATATGGATATGACACTAAGTTAGAACGAGCTTATGCAACTTTACACATTTACTATTACTATATTATTAGTTACTATTACTCCACTAGGTCTGAAATATATATTGTACGTTTTAATCCCCTGGAACACAAATTTGATGATCTAGATTCTAGAACATGATGCATTGCTGTGTCTGTAATAATTAAATTAATAATTTTGGAGACGGTGGCTGTACGTTTTTTTTATTATTATTATTTATTTTATTATTTTTTTTACATTAAAAAAGTTTTTTGTTTACAGTCTTCCTTTAACGTACATTAATATAAGACAATAGCCTACTGCAAAAACAGTACTGTCAAGGTGTTATATTCCTGTTATATATTTATTGTCCAACATTCCTAATTTTTCTCTCATTAATTTAATTTCATCTGTTGGTATTAATTCAGTGTTTATAATGCTAATACTTGAACTTTAAATAATTTCAACCGAAACTGACATGGTTTCTAGAGAGCAAAGGTTTTGTGAAAAAAGGGAAGACTTAAACACAAAGTCTGTAAAATAAACTGTTAAAAGGATTTGATGATCACTAATGTAGTGATAGTAGGTTATTGTTCTCATCATTCAGGTTGTGTATTTCAGCTTTAATGTACAGTTTTTTAAACAAAGCAGCTCATATTTGCCATAGCGACAGCTAGAAGCTAGTGGACTGCAGAATGGAGGAAGTGTAGAGCTGCTGCTGCTGCAATGGAACGTTCTATTGGCTTTCACTTCTTGTCAGTATAAGTTCTCTGTGCAATTATTAATATACTGTAATTTCACACAGTGTATGTTTGTGGGATATCAAAAGCAGTGAAGGATACATCCATGCTACCTTAAATAATCGATCAGATGAAGCTGTCTCAGTAGACTGGATGTGACACGATCACTGGACTCTCACTGGACCTCTGTATGCTGTCTGTGGAGGCAGCGTACTTCTGCTTGATGCAGCCTAACATCTTCCTCTAAACACTCTTAAAAATAAAGGTTCCAAAAGGTTTGTGAAGAACATTTTTCCACTATAAAGATACACTGAATACAATGTTCATACCTTTTATCAAGCTCCAATTGGTATTCTTTTGACACAGGGCTATATTGTAGAGACAATCTTACAGCTTACTCTTGATGTAATAAGTGTATCATCATAACCATGTAGCAACTGCAAAAGTCATAACTAGTTTTCCAATCAGCTAGTCAAGTGTAAGTCGCTACCATTGACTCTATATTTGCTGTTTTCAGAGTCCAGTGCAGTGACTGGTGTGAGTTCTCATTTCACTGTCTACTGTCAGATACAGTAGTAGTGGAAAAAAAAATACAGCAACACTGTTTCTGTTCCTGTTGACATATTTTCTCACAACCAGTTAAATAATTAATGCAATTTTCCTTTCATTTCTATAACAATAAATTTACACTAGATTATTGTTGCCAAATAATATAAAAAAAAAAAAAAAAACTAAAATGAAAATTCCAAGCTGTCAAGTGATGTATTTTGCTTATAGTTGACATGAATCCATTTCAATTAATTTGATTTTTTTTAAATTACAACAGTTAAAATGTCAGACTTTCCTCTGGTGATATACGCAGGACTTTAGATGAATAGAACCAAGACCTGCCCTACATTTTTTTCTTGTTCGATAAAAAACAATAAGAAATCCATAAGAAATGTGAAAAATGTTTTAGAGTAGCTTGAACGACAGCTTGAGTAGATTTTTTATCAATGAATGAGAACCCTTTTCCTTTGATTACAGTGTTGTTGTTGAACCATAAAATGCAAAATAATGCATTTTTACAAACATTCTTGTACCTTAATTTATCTAAAAGCAAAATGAGATTTAACTGTGATTTTCAGTTGTTACAATCAGTTTAACTGGTAAGATCCTCAGAGGGGAAGTTGTGCAGTGATTATATAAGAATGGAAAGACAGTCTCTGTGAAGGTTGTTGTGAATGAGCAGAGACAGATGTTAGTTAGAGGATCAGAGAAGGACACCTTTCCTCTGTCACAGTCCAGCTGAACTCTCACACGCTGCAGCTTCTCTTTAACTGTGAAGACAGTCAAAGGTTGATCTGGTGATTGTGAGCTGTATTTACTGTTCATGTACTGCACAAGACAGACATTAGTGTTAAAGAAAACCTCTCCCTTCCTTTGGTTTGATGCTGTGGTTATTCCAGCAATCCAATATGTATTGTCTCCAACCTCCACATCCCAGCAGTGTGTTCCTGAGTTAAAGCCCTCAGAACCCAGAACACATCCATACCTGTCAAACCTCTCTGGACTATCAGGAAGATTTTGATATACATCACTGTACGACACACTGGTCAAATCAGTAGATAGTATAAGCCAAGGAGCTGCTGTGTTTGGATCTAGAGTCAACGGAGCTGCAAAGAGAATAAAATCAGATTAGAGGATGAAATATGATGGTATTAGAAATGTAAACCTAATACATAAACAAACACCACGAGGAATATACTGTTTTGTAGTCATTATGAGTTTGCAGTATGATCCGATGATCTTATGAAATACAGTTCAGATTCACTTGAACTCCATAGAATTTCAAGTGATAATTACATTTATTTTTATTTTTTTTTGTAACGCATGTTAATCAGTCTGTCTTTGTTTATATCTGCAGTATTTAATCGTTTGTACTGCTGTCAGATTTTCTAGAGACTCACTGTGTTGGAGAGTTTCCTGCATCTTCTTCCAGACTCTGAACCGCAGGTCACTCAAGTAATGTGACACATGAATCAAAGCTCCAGAACTCATCTGTGGATCCGGCTGTGAGATCTGGACTCTGGAAGAACATTCAGGAGTCAGAACTGCAGTGGATTTGAGTTCAGATCCACTGAGAGAAGAAACACCAGCAGCTCAACTTACCTTTCCATCGTGATGCTAAAGTTCTGGAAAATATAGAGTTTGAAAGACATTTTAATATCTCATCAAACACTCATAACAGTTAATTTTCTCTCTATACAAATTAAGAGTTTGATCACTGGTTGCGTAATTGGCAGGTTGTTTTGTGCACAAACAATGAAGCTAAATTCAGTTGTCACCTTCAGAAAGCAGGCATCGCTGGCTTTCATCATCTCCTCCGTGTCTTTGATTGTGTGTGAAAGAGCTGAGATGTGTCTGTTCATCTCCTCCAGCTTCTCCTTCATCATCTGCTGCTTCTGCTCCTCTTCCTCCCTCAGTGCAGTGATTGCAGCTTCTTCTTCATCTCTGAGAAACTGATGAATCTTCTCAAACTCCTCTTTAATCTGACGCTCTGTGTGCTCAGCTTGAGACTGAAATCACATCACATTCACTTCAGTCAGCTCTGCATTAACACTCACTCCACTAATGTCCATCATAAACTCTGTGAATGTTTGAATCTTTACTCGATATCCTCACCTTCATGTGTTGAACTGTTTCATGACACTCTGCTTTCATTTCTTCTGCATGTTTGAGCTTGTTTTGTAAAGATTTCAGTGCTGTATTCAGTTCCTCCTACAAGTTAAGATGAAAATCTGTGAAACTTTAAGTAGCTAATAAATTTCAACAATTTTTGGATGTTTTTTCATATGATTTGCTAAATGTATTTATATTTTGTAAAAGTCATCCTCAGGAATCAGTCCCAGTTGTGCATGAAAATTTCAGTACATTTTTATTTATTTATTTTTTTTCAATTCGTAAAGGATGAACAGTCAGCATTCTTGTGTCAAAACAATATTTGATCAGTAAAAATTACTCAAGCTTGGCAATGCTTAGTAAGCTTCTATTTGATCCATGGCTTAATGGATGTCAGAAGGTTAAAATCTTTGCTTTCTAGAAGGAAATGAATAGGAATAAACAGAAGGCGAAGGACTAAGATTCACAAATTCTGCAGTTTCTCAGAAATTCTGTAAAATATTTCAGAAATGTGTCTCACCTTGTGAGATGAAAGAACTTCACTGATGGGTCTGAATGTGTGATTGACATGTTTCTCTGAGTCTCTGCACACTAAACACACCGGCTGTTTGTCCTCCAGACAGAAGAGTTTGAGTTTCTCACTGTGTAAACTGCAGATCTCCTCAGATCCTGATGAGCGCCTCTCGTTTCGCTCTTTTATCAGTGAATCACACAAGTTTTTTAACGCTAGAATACTGAGAGGTTCTTGTTTTGAGGATCTTCTTCTGCAGACAGGACACTCCTGAGTTTTCTTGGTTTCCCAGAACTGTTGAAGACACTCTTTACAAAAACTGTGACTGCAGGACAGAAGAACAGGATCCTTGAAGATTTCACAGCAAACGGGACAAGAAAGCTCTCCCACAGATTTTGAATCCATTTCCTTTTCTTCTGCAACAATCTACAATTTACTTTCACTTTCTGAACTTTACTTTGAAAATTAAATAACAATTATAACTACAATCAAAATCTATTTCGTGCAACAAACTTCTCAAAAAATCCTCCTGTATAGTGTCCTCCTTTGATGCACAGCACTCTTTTTAGCTTTCAGTATGATATGTAAGGAAGAAATCATAAGACTAGACACTTCCTGGTAGGGTAAAGGTTGTGAGAGGGTGGAGTTTCTGATGGGCTTTTGGACTTTTTGAACACAGACTGAAAATATAGGCTGCATCCGAAAACTGAAAAATGATGCCTTCGGAGGACGCATTTCAAGGTAGGAAGGCATCAAGGCATGTCCGAATCCGAAGTTAGCGTTACTTCCTGTCTCATGAGATGCCTTCATCTGATTGATTTTTGAATGCAGCATAGATGTATCCTTCACTGCCTTTGATATCCCACAATACTGTGCGTGTTCGTCCGAGAGGGAGTGGCTTTAGTAGACTATGGTAGAGCTCAGAAAAAAAATGGCGTCAGAGAATGCGGTTGGAGGGCAGTTTTTGTACAAATGTAAGTTTTATTTTCACTTTCAACAGCTTTTGATTGTGTTTCTACTAAACAATGAGTGTTGTAGTTGCTAAATATTTGCTTGGTTATCGTCTCTTTCTATTTATAGTTCAAATATAATTTCGAAAGGGTTGTAGGATTTCTATCATGAACAGACACGGATATGCCATTGAATCA